GTGTACAGTAAGTAGCAGCCATGTCAGTGGTTTGAGGCTTCATCATGCTCGACTGGCATGTCATGTTTGGTTGAAGCGACAGGGAGGTAAGCTGCATGAGCGACATCACCCCCCCCCCCCTTTCCAGGCATCCCAGGAAGCACATGCACATCCACATGCAAGACCTTTACAATACATCCCCCCTGTGTACGGTAATGATCGCTCATGCAGAAGTCCTCCTGCTTCACCTGCAATTATTGTCACAAAAAAAGGCAAATAATAAAACTCTGGCTGATTGTCCGTGGGTACCACCGTCATACATACCCAAGCAGTCGCTGGGGGGGAAAAAAGAGTTTAAATCCAATTCATATTAATTTAATTAAGGTAAGAGGGAACAGATTGATTGCGGAGTCCATTTTAACTCTGTTTTTCCAGCCTCTTATCCCCATTAATATTGCATGGCATCATCGACCCTGCTTCACATCCCGGGGCGCCCGTCTGCGCCTCTGTGTCACACACTCGCTGAGTATTATCAGATATACACTTTCATTCAAACACACAGGTTGGCAGATTCACACAAAACAAAAATTCAGACCCTGAGGCCTGTGCCACTTACAAACACCCCCTAATTGAATGTTTGCGTTTGAAATTCAAAGGCACTTTTAGAAAGGAAGAGCAGTGAGAGCATTTACCCGCTGGCTGCTGGCCTAGATAGTAACTTCGGGCAGGACGTGCGGATACGTCACTTCCATGGTTACGGGATAGGGGCCCTCTTTCCTCCCGTCAGCGTGAAACTGGAAAATGTTTTTTGTTTGTTGGATTTCATTGTTTGTGCATGGGTGGAGAGGGGGCGGGCAGCAGGTGGGAGGCCACAAGGACTTTAGAGCGGGTGTCATTTTGGGGGAAGTAGGAACAGATATAAACAGGGTTCTGATGATGATGACGATGGAGGCACACGGACAGTTGTTTTGTCTTTTAGTGGGCGTTTAAGGGGGATTGTATGAGTACAGTTGATTTTGGAACGATTGCACTTGGGTACCTTTTTAACAACTTTTATTGAAATCGACTTCCGGCGAGTCGCACACGCACTTATGTGAGGTTTTGCAGAAACTACTACAACAAGGTCTATTTGCCAGCACATAGAGTCCTATTGTGAACCTGGAAATGTTGACTAACACAACGTTTTATGTTAGAAATGTATAGTAGGGGTCCTCAGCTATCAGAAACAGCTGGATGCCAACTTTCATATGTTTGGCAATGTGCACAATACGCATACATTGCTTTTTTTTTTTGCATCAATTAACAAGCTGTGGAGTTGTTATGTTACGAAGCAGAGCGAGAGTAAACGCGTAAAATAAAAAAACGAAATGCTTCATCCACACACTCTTGTCACAGTGTAGGAAAGCACATCGCAAATATCACCTGATGTTCTGTTATTTTCCAGTGTAGCATAAAAGCACGGTGAAATTAGCTTGACTAGTTAACATCATCGTCATTTCTAGCCGGTCCGATCGTTAGCTAGCGGAGTTGCGAAGGAAGAACACCTTTAGCCTATAACCAGTTCACCCACTTAAAGCCCTTATACAGTATGTTTGTTTCATAACTTAAGCATCTGTCTAGTAATTGTGAGTGCATTTGTAAGTGTTTAAAGAACTGTGCTTGTTATTTTAAAAAGATAGTAGAAAAGTAATGCACACCAAGGGTTTATTGGAAGGACCCAAAAGCCTGAATCGCCATCTGAATGAAATATAAATGTTTATGAAGCCATAACGTGAAACACTTAATACATATTTTAGTTTTGGCACACGAGAGGTGTTTGTTTCTGGATGGATTTAAAGTGCAGGCAGGTGTCGTAGAGTTTGTGCCTGAACCACTCATTCTCCTCAGCTCTCTCCCTGAAGCTGATTAAATATGTTGTACAGTGTTTGAGAGACTGTACACCTGTTAGCTTTATTACTCTTTCTTTAGCCTGGGCGCATAAACTTGAAATTAAAATATTTGTCTTGTGCGTGACTGAGTTAATATTAGCCTGCCTGTTCATTCCCCTCCATGTGTTTGTTTACATATTTGTTTTGGCTTTGTTTGTGTTTACTGACTGGCTTCTCTCTGAGTATATAGAGCATCTGTCTACATTTGTGTTTGTATTTAAGAGTGTCAGATTGATTTGCATGTATGAGTTTGTGTGCAGTGAAGCGGTATAAGGAGACGAGAAGCACTGGTCATAACTTGAATTTCTTTAAATGACTTAAGTCTGTGTGACTGGCAGAAAATGGATGAGCATGGTTTCCCTTGACTCAAACTGGGACATGCAGTTCATGTTTTAGGGTCACAATAATAGGAACCACCCAAACAAAAACAGCTGGCCATGATATTTGCCTGCAGATAATAACTGACTCTAAATATTATAGGGATCATCTCTAGAAAAGTGCACTGATGCAAAATTAAAAGAACTAAATGAAATCTTTAAAATCTGTTCTTTGAATACTTGGGGGTTGTATGTCTGGGAGGTCTTCTGGTTTAAAATGGAGAGCATTTATTTAAATGTATACTGTAGTAACAGTGTTTATTTGCTTGGAAACAAGTCATATTTCTGCCCACACTGTGATCTCTGGTAAGTGCTATGCAGTGCGAAGCCCAGTAAGAAAAGACACATATATAGTAACAAAAATATACAGATTTTAATAAGATATGCAAGAATTTGGTTGGTCTTAATGGTCCCAGTATTTCTGTTCTCACTGCATAAAGAATTATGAATGTTGTCAAATTGAAAGGGACAATTACATTTAATCATAAAATTGAACTGCCTGCTTGCAGAATTGGAAGTTAAAGGTTAAGTCAGTCTGAGAGCGGATTCAGTCGATGGAAATGAAATCATCTTTACAATTACGGCCAGCTCTGCCAGGTCAATTCATTTTCTGTGGTGAATTTAGTTAGTATTGACAGTACAACATTGTCATTTCAGCGTTTGCTGCAGAGGAGACTGTGTGTCTGACCTCTGCTGAATTACTGTGGAGGAAAAAGATTGAGGACAAGAGGGTTCAATCTACCACAGAGCAGGAAACACAAAGCGCTCTATTACTGCAGGGAAAGTGATTTTTGGGTTATTGTTTAGCGTGTATTTGTGTTGGCTTTGTGCAAATCGTTGTGTTTTTTTCGTGCCCATCTTTCTGTGTTTGTTTATGGTTGTATTCTTCTGTAAATGCACTTTTGCAGGTGTACTGTATGTGTGTGAGTGATGTGTAACAGGGTTCTCACAGGGTCAACAGTTTTGCTGCCGATTCAAAGTCTGTTTGGGATTGGGTTTAGAGGACTCTGTGTCTTTACTGTGTGTTAAAGGGCAATTTCACACCATTTTCACGTTTCTTTATTTCTTGGCCTATAGCACTGTGTCTTTTTGGGTGACGGATTGCATTGTGAACAGAAATTGGTTCAAGTCCAATTTCATTTTACAATGTTTTATAAGCCTGAATTGATGTTTTTCTGAAAATAAAGTCCATATAATTCTTTGTTTGCTGATGGTTATGTGTGTACCTCTCCAAGGACTGCAGATGGAAATGAGATATTAGCAAAGGAACATTTAGATTATTGTATTTTATGCATGGTCCTTGTTCAATAAAGACATCAAGTGAAGTATGAACATTAAACTGGAGCTTATAGTTTACTCTCTTTTTATATATATATACTAAATGTCTGCCAGAAAGTGTTGGCAAATCTGATTGAAGAGGAATTATGTTCAATTAATGCGTTACCTTATAAGCCTTTTTAGTTCTAACAGGTGACAAGGAGTGTGTTTGGATCTGTCATGGTGACGATATATATGAGTTTTGTTTTGTTGGTAGGAGGAGGTAAGACTCAGATGGATCCACTGAGAGTTGAGAGGGTGATTGACAGGGCCACAGTAACAATGAGAGAGCTGTTTGGATAGGTGAGAGAAGGGGGGAGGGCGGGACTTTCTGACATTTTGGGAGTTGGTCTTACCTCGCAGTCGGACTCCTCTTTGGTCTTACACTCCCAGGTGTATCTGCTCATGGTTTTCTGAGGGGAGGGGGATGGGGCAAAGGGTTATAACTCCTCAAAACCATACAAAGGCATCCTCAGAGAGAAAGACAGATAGAGAGACGGACAGAAAAAGTTGGAGGTGGACAGAGAGAAAGTTGAGTGGGAGGTGAAACAGAGAGATAAAAGTAGCGAGAAAGAGGAGGCGGACAGGAAGAGATAGAAGCAGACAGATAAAAAAGACAGAGAGAGATCGAGTGTTGGAGACAGAGACCAACAGCAGGAGAAACTTCCTTTCAGACGTCAGCTGATATTCCCAGCTGGCTACAGTATCTCTGCTCAAACACAGACTCTCTGGTGCTGCCGGCTGTTAGTCATTATTAGCAAAGTAAATACAGGTTGGGATATTTCTGGTGAGGTTCTCCGCCATCGTGGCACTTGGCTGTTGGTATGGAAGGGGATTGAGGTTTTTTAATTATTATTAGTGGGTTTATTTTGGGAGAGATTGGTGAGTTGGTATGGTTTTTGGTTTGGGGAAGCCTATATTTTCTAAGTTAGTTGTGTACGTGGTTGGAACATGTATTAGAATAAAGCTGGGCTGAATAGTAGTTGGAAATCTGTGGTATTTGACAGTCACGCTTCTTTGCTAAAAATCCTATAACCAGTAAAAGCAGTGTCAATAAGAAATGAGAAAACAGTCAAGTGAATGTTCTGTAAATTGCTTTTGGCTGATATATAGTTGTAGCCAGATGTATTTGAGCCTTGGTGAATACGGCAATTTTGCCAACCTGAAACTAGGTCCAAAAAGAGCCTTGTTTCAGAACCCAACACTACTTGTTATTTAAAAGTACACCATGCAGTTTTCGTGGAAACAAAGTTCACATTCACAGAGTTCACTTGTTGATGCCTGACACTGCTGAGTGTATTTCGTTTATCATAAAAAAGTAGCTGGGTTGTATCAATATCTTTGATTTTGCGGAGCTAGCTAGCTTGTCTTTTAGCATGGCTACTTCCTTGCACATTACTGCCACCAACTGTCAGTGGATTAGCCTGAAACTGGCAGTGGAAGTATGTATGTGTACCAATAAGTGTGCTGAAACAAACTCTTTAACACATTTACAAATACTATTCAGTCCAGTGGATGATAAGGGGTTTTAGGTGGTTTTGAGTTAGGAAGTAGATATTTTGGGGATATTGTTAGGAGGTGAGGATGGATGGTTTTTGTTACTCTTTTCTTGTCTGTTAGGATATGAACATGATATGTAGTGGTGGTTAAAATGAGAGGGTGAGACTATTTCCTAAAACTGTTGAGCTAGCATGAATGAGTTACAGAGAAACGACTAGTTGCTGTACCTTTTACAAGTTAAAAAAACTACTGACGGAGTTGTTAGAGGGTGGTACCACATCTTAAAAACAAATCAAACAAGCTCTACCTCAGATGTAGCACGAGAACTACCCATGCTGCTACAACGTTAGCCGCTAAAGCTAACCATGCTTCAGTTAGTGAGGCGCCTGACGGCTCTCTGCGGCCACCTGCAGGCCGCCGCGGGGCGTTGCATCTCAGATGTTTATCCTGATAACCCCGACCATTTCACACAATAGTCCCCACACCTTAAGCTTACCTGTTTGTGACATCAATCCTCCCATTTCCTCCCCCCCAGAAAACCAGAATAAGCAAGTCCCGCCCCCTCCCATTTTCAGGATAAACAATTAAAGCAGACATTTAGTTATAAGCACAAATCAGTAAACAGTTAGCGAAGCAGAGCTGCGGTGGCTCACATGGCGTTGCACATGTTAGCGACAGAGCAGGAAAGCCATGACACACCGATGCAAGAAGTGATCAGAGAGAGAGAGAGCAGCTTAGAAAGAGACGGGGTGAGCAAGGGGTTGCAGCGAAGGATTCTGGGGGTTTTCTCTTTAAGGGTCAAGCCAGCGCGGTTTGTTAGTTGCACTGTGAGAAACGTCCGTAAATGTTCAGAGTGCATGGTTTCAGGGGGAGTTTGACCTCTGACCTGGGTCCTCCACTGAGCTGATTTATGGTACATCCTCTCTTTGTCAGCAGGCAATTAAGCGTTTCCTGGACACCGTTCAGTCAAAATGAATTAGTGGGGTGTCTGTAATGGTCCTAAAATGACCGGCTAAAGCTCAAGACCAGATTTCTTCAAGACATTTCATCTTAAAATACCAGCATTTTCATACTCTACTCATACTTTTTTGTTTTGTCATCTTCTATTTGTGTGTTTGTTGTTGTCACCTTCACAATAGGATCAATAAGCAATAAGCCAGGGGAGCCGAATCAATAAAACAGCATGAAACTATGAGACCCAACTGCCATCGTGTTGCTGTGGTAAAATGGGATCAATCTATGCAGCTGTGCCATTTCTTATTAATAGCAGTGGCCAATTTATGAGGTATGCTTGTACAATCAAATGCAATGCAATACATCCGTTCTGCCTTAAATTCATACTTTTATGTTGTTCAGATTCTTTTGACTCAGTCATGAAGCTGTTATAGCTCAGTTTGCGGTGGTGTTTTTGATTGCATTATATTAAGTATATAAGTATTTCTAATATGTTGCCCCCTCATGTATTCTAATAGGGAGGACAACGAACTAGAAACATGTCTAAATGTAATATGGTCCAGTATACGTTTTAAGTATGACTTCAATATTAAATATCACGTTTCCGACAATGTAACAACGAACAAATGAACTCCACTGTTGCATTTCTTCTGCATGTGTAGCTAATAAAGTGGTGCTAGTATAAGTGACTCGTCACAAATTGGCTAAACCTGAAATAATTGCAATATTAACAAGAGATCCACGAGTTCTCAAATGGATTAAGAAATTGTAAAATAACCACAATCTAAATGCATGATGGTCATGTTTAAACGTGTTTACTTCCTATAGTTTTATATATCCTCCCCTATGTATTTGTATTTTCCCCGAGAGAAAACTCCCCACCATCCCTCCTTCGCCCTTCGACCCCGCCCATCCCTCGTCTTCATAGCGTTGCACACCTCGGAGTATCTGAGAATACTCATGCCCATGCATTAGGGGGAGAGGAGTCAGGGGCCCGGGCAGGGTTTGCAGGGGGGGGGGGGGGAGATGCAGAAAAAGGGGTGAGAGAGAGAGGCGAGAACCACGTTACCTGACAGATAATGTTATCATAGTAAGCCAATGCACGGGCATGAGGGACGTTAGGAGGGGTGTCGCACAGTTTCCTTACATTTGGGTGGGAGCCCTCAGCGATGGTGGACAGCGAGAAATTATCATTGTGCTGCTCCGATGAAGGCCGGTACTTACTGCTGGGTGACGGAGGATTGGAGGGGAAGAGGAGGAGGGGAAGTGGACAGGAAGATGAAGAAGAGAAGAATAAAGGACATTTAAGAGATGATGAAGATATAGGAATGCATGAGAAGACAGAAAAGCCAACAAAAATGGGAAGGTTTATAGAGTAAAAGAGGGAAATTGGAAAGATAATAAGAGACAGTTTGAGAGTTTCAGGAGGATTTGAAGAGGAGGAAGTGAGGAAGAGGTAGAGGTGAAGTGACATTTACAGGAGGTCATCCACAGGTGAGAGAAGAAGAAGGAGAGACATTTGAAGCCAAAAGAAGTCATACGAAGAGACGGACAAAGGTAAATGGAAAGGCGGTGAAACAAAATGGAACAAAGGAAAGGAGATAGGGGTAAGAAAAGGGACATATTTAAGAGAAGAGATTACATTGTTGAAGATAAGACGGACAAAAGGAAAAAAGGAGGGGGGAGAAAAAGCAAGAAAGCAGCATTAGTTAGACAGCAATCTTCTGTTTGTCACAGGGCAAACAGAAAATAACACAACATTTAATCTGTGATGCAACACACGGAGAATTCATTTTGACCATCAGATTAAGGTCATCTGGTTTTACACACAGAGGCTGCACTTTGACTCACATTTGACCCACTTTTGACTTGACGTGACTAACAGGGAGAAAACACTGCAGACAAAAACAGACTCTGTTCGTATTTAAAAAAACACACAGGGTTCAGATGTGTGTAAGTGTTGCACATATTGATGCAAATAATACTTTTTATGTTCATTTGACATTGCTGCAAACAAGCTAATCCAATGCTTTCTCTTGAACTCCACTGTGTTGGAGGAATTAGACCTTGCAAATACACATACGGCTGTCTTATGATACACATAAAAGAGTAGATAATGTAACATCTGTCCGGGGAATACAGATGCAGAGACAACTGTTGGCTAACTGCAGGTTTGTTCACCTAAAAAGACTCCTGGAAATAAGCATTGCAACATTGTACGGCTTTATGTTGACACTAAAACACAATTAAAACCCCAACAAATTAACACATTAAAATGAAAAAGCTACCCGACCCATTTTCTTTTTTTTACACCTTGTTTTAAAAAAAATTGTGAATAAAAGGGATGTTGTGAATAATTAAGTATGTTGTTTGCACGTTTGAACTACCCTCCTGGAGACATGCAAAACAAATGCGTATATTTCCCAAAATGTCAACCTATATCTGCTTAAATATGCAAAATGATGAATCAAAAAGCACATTCAACATTGCTCATTGTCCCTACAAATACAAGGAGTTCAACAAACAGTATTATAATCACACCTTATCCACTATGATGAGAAGTGACTACTCTCCTTTTATCTCGTCTTGGAAGCTGCAAACTATGGGATTTCCCTTTTGACTGAGCGAGACTGAACTCTTTGATTTCCTTCCTCTTTATTCCTCGTCTCAGACTTCTCAAAGGGAAGAGATGTTTGTCTCAGGGACTGAATGAAGCGGTAACTTTGACAAAAGTGCCACAGATGTGTCTCTTTCAAATCTTCTCCTATGAAATGGCTGTCATGCTGTGCCGCACTCATATAAAACCTACACTTCTGTCCTTGTCATGTCTTCACTTCCCCGTCATATCTAAAGAGGCCGTGATCTACTTCCTGCCAAAAACCGCCTGGCGCTCTGATCCTCCATATTTATATTTTATGAACGCTGTGACAGGACAATCAAAGACAGAGTAATGACGGCAGAGAGAGAGACGGAGATCATGTCCTCCCATCACCACTGAGCTCAAAGTCTAGCAGCATAAACCAGCTTTGGACCTCTCACTCTACTCAAATAGTCCCACTTGTAACACCCATGTTTAGATGAAGCTGTCTCAATTAAAAACTAAATACATTATTGAGTGTGTTTTTAGAGGAGCTGGTTGATGTGTAATTGCATTAGCCAGAAGTAAAAAGCTAACGTTAGGCTGTAAAGGAATTACATCACGGTCAAATGACTTCACGTTACAATTCCTTAAAGGTAGGGTAGGTACGTTTGAGAAACCGGCTCGAGATCGCTAGAATTTGAAAATACACAACCGGAGAAAATCTGCCACTTCCTTACAGAGCCCCTCCTCCAACACACACGAACGCGCACATGACCAATGAGGGCACGAGATAAGTTTGTGCACAGATGGAAGGCTGACAGGCAGGTAGGCCATCCAGTTATTTTAGCCGGGCCGGCTAAAATGATTGGTCCTACTTTTTACAGTACTACGGCTTCCACAGATGACCTTTTTTTATGGATTTTTTGTCAAAGCACTTAAGATATTCATTGCTATCGGGATGTTAAGAGCATTCCATGGAATATAACAAAAATGTTATCTCGAGCCGGTTTCTCAAACGTACCTTTAAGCTAAAGGCGGCTAACGTTTGCCGTGATCGTTAAGTCACTTGGTTGGCTTTAGGACTCATTCCTGCACCACTCTATGGTTCAGATCCTAACATGTCTTCTAGCCAGGATGCCATCTTTTTTCTTCCCTCCTTTTCTCTCTCTATGACCGGGATGTTGGGTTTGATCTCGACTGCGGCAGAGAAACACTGCGACTGTGATTACCCAGCAGATGGGGGAGTGTGGGAGTCTCATGTATTCATGAGCTATGTCAGCACACACATACACACATACACACACACACGCACGCACGCACGCACGCACGCACGCACGCACGCACGCACGCACGCACGCACACAC